CTCTTAAACAACTCCTCCATCCACATAATCATCGTGACACACTCTGCCTTGACCCCCATAAGTGACACTTTCTCTACCGTGACCCCATGACCCCTTACTCCACTGTGACCCCCATGAATGACCCCAAACTGACCCCTCTCCCCCCTCCCCCCTTCAACGAATAAAGTCAAACGTCATAAGTGTGATTTTGAAAGTGTTGCTCAAGACATGACTTAAGATGATGTGAAGGAGATTGGGTGTGGTGGAGTGGGTGTGGTGGAGTGGGTGTGGTGGAGTGGGTGTGGGGTGGGTGTGGTGGTGGAGGGGGGAGTGGGTGGGGGGATTGGGTGGGTCGCGGGTGCGTGTGAGTATTCGTGCCTAATTATAGCACAGTAAGCGTGTAGAAGAGTGAAGAGCGTACTAACTGCCGGCGGTGGTTACCTCACGCTTGCTCCTTTATATTTCCTTAGTCTGTCTGTCTGTCTGTCTGTCTGTCTGTCTGTCTGTCTGTCTGTCTGTCTGTCTGTCTGTCTGTCTGTCTGTCTGTCTGTCTCTCTCTCTCTCTCTCTCTCTCTCTCTCTCTCTCTCTCTCTCTCTCTCTCTCTCTCTCTCTCTCTCTCTCTCTCTCTCGCTGACACATTCGCGCACGCTCATACACACACACATATATATGCACACACAAACACGCACATGCAGTAAAAACATGAGCAAATACAGTACAGACACGAACACATACAGCATACACATCATATACCCCACACACACACACACACACACACACACACACACACACACACACACACACACACACACACACACACGAAAAAGAGACAGCCAAGCATCCAAGACTACTAAAGACCAGCACCAACCCCCAAACAACCAACCATTAGAGGAAAGAACACTTATGAACGCTCAACTCATAACACGAGAGCGGCGAGGAGAGGTGATAGTGACATGGAAGTAACTGAAGCACCGAGCTAAAGCCTCGTGAAGTCTTCGAACCAGAACCTGGTGACCAGCTCCCGGAGGTAGGCACCAGAGCACCCTTGAGTGAGAGACTAAGCAACGTGGATGTCACATCAGATGAGATATACATTTGCAAGTGTCTGCGTGGAGGAGCTTAGGCGGGTCGGGAGTCTTCCCTTGGCAGAGGCCTGGGGCCCAGGAGCTGGAGGACGTGCAAGTGCAGTTAGGTCAGTACTACGAGGGGGGGGGGGAAGAGGACATACAAAACGCCAGCGATATACAACGGTGCGTAATACTGTGTATATTCCACCAGCCACACACCACTACTAAAGACGGGCTGCTCCATAACACCTCACATCCTCCACACATACCCAGAAACGAACCACACACCCACCCTCCACAACCCACACCTCCACAACCCTCCACAAGCCACACACACCCCCACACCCCCACAAGCCACACCTGCCCCCTCCACAAGTGCTGAGGTAAGCGAGAGAGGCGACCTTCAACACACCATTGATCACACCATACTCCCAGAGTTACATGGGGCCATCCCGCCTCCCAAACACGCTTCGCTGACATTTGATCAAAGCGGCTGTGACCCAGAATGAGTTAGGCTCCGCTCAATACTCCTTTACTCGCTTTAATATCTAACGTACTAAGCTTCATAAGCAACTAATCAAAGCAAATGCGAAGTACAGGATTGCATATGTACTATTTATACAACCATGTACTCCAAAAATGTTAGTACTTATAGTAACAATTAGTTGAAAGTACAAAAATGGACTGTTTAATATCATTTGTACAATATCATTTATCCTAGGCCTTGAAAAGCAATCCTAAGCCTAATAATAGCAATCTTAGGTCATAAAGTACATACACGGGCTAGATTAGGCCTAAGAATTTAGTTGTTGTTGTTGTTAAAGATTCGCTACCTAGAACTAAGAGTTCTAAGTAGCACGGGCTATGGTGAGCCCGAAAATTTTGATTCGAATATTGCCTTCCCTTTCGTGGCCTCAATAAAATAAATGGAATAAAACGTGGACCTTTTGTGAGTACAACAGAATTCTTATAAAAGTACTCGTGTTGGTCAGTCAGCAAGCAACTGCTGTTGCCTTAATAACCAAACCAAGCAGATGCATGGGACATGAAGGAGCTGGGATAGTAAGTCAAGGAGCTGGGATACGAGGACAAGGAGCTGGGATACGAAGATAAGGAGCTGGGATACGAGGACAAGGAGCTGGGATACGAAGACAAGGAGCTGGGATACGAGGACAAGGAGCTGGGATACGAGGACAAGGAACAGGGATACGAGGACGAGGTGAAGCAATGGTGACCGGGGCAGACTGTGAGGAGTCGGTCAAACATGCTTCCATCCACCGGTAATCCTTATTGAATTTATCAACTACTAATGTGCGTTAAACACGACAGGGCCCGACGACTGAGCCCCCTGTCCCAGGCCAGCTGCGTCCTACCTGTCTCCGCGTCCCTCTTCTAAGCCAATGGCAGACGGTGGACGGGCAATTCCAGGCCGACGAGAGCCAGTGCCACAGGTCCTCGTCTGTCAAGAGTGCCAGTAGTCCCTCCTGTCTCATGCCCAGGGCCTGAGACAGGAGGTAAAGACAGGGATACAGTTGTGTCGTCAATTCTAGAGATGAGGCGTCTCTCTCTTTCGGAAGGGGACGTAATTTGCCTAAGGGGGGTCAATTCAGTACTGTAAGGTATCGTGAGGTATTCCCCACGTCTCGAACATTACAACTCTAACCCCAAAAAGATAAATCACGCCTGATCTGAGATCCGGGTAAAGATCTCTGTGATATAAGCGAGTTCCAATAGTTGAGGACTGGTGTATTTGAAATTAAAATGTATCTCTCGGTATTAAATTAATCAATTAAAATTGAAAATGAGTTGTAAGTGGCACGCAAATAAGGAAATTGATGTAATTGTAAAGTGGGTGTTGTAAGTATGGTGTCACGTATTGTGAGCACGGTGTCAGGTATTGTGAGCACGGTGTCACGTATTGTGGGCACGGTGTCACGTATTGTGAGTACACTGTCACGTATTGTGAGCACAGTGTCACGTATTGTGAGCACAGTGTCACGTATTGTGAGTACACTGTCACGTATTGTGAGCACTGTGTCACGTATTGTGAGCACTGTGTCACGTATTGTGAGCACAGTGTCACGTATTGTGAGCACGGTGTCACGTATTGTGAGCACAGTGTCACGTATTGTGAGCACGGTGTCACGTATTGTGAGCACGGTGTCACGTATTGTGAGCACGGTGTCACATCTCACAATAACTCCAGGTCGACACAGCCTCTGGTGGTGTCCGAGGTGGGTGGCCTTACATTAGTTAACAAAAGCGCGATAACAAAATATTCCTGCAACATTTTCGCCTTGATTATCTTGCTAAAATCATTATGAGTAATTGCAGCGACGAACATCAACCCCCCCCTCCCCCCACCCCCCTCCACAACACCCCTCCTCCCCCCCCACTAACCAACAACCTGCTCCCCCCCCTTTACGTATAATCCCCTCCACCAACCCCCAAACACCACCCACTACCACACATCACCCGCAATACAACCCTTTCATCCTCACATAACGGGCTATTCATGCCCGTGCCACCTCTTGGGGTGGCTTAATCTTCATCCTCCTCCCTCACAAACCTCCTTCCCTCTCCCCTATAATCCCCTTCCCCCCCCCCCCATACATCATCCCCCCCCATACATCATCCCCCTCACCACCCCTCTATCGGGAGGACTTGAGGCTCCTGGGCGGTTGGGAATTCAAATTCCTGCTCCCATTTTCCTTCTTCAAGATTATTACGGTACATTTATGGTACATTCGAGACGCGGTGTAGTTAAGAGGTCACGGTACAGTTAAGAGGTCACGGTAGTTAAGAAGTCACGGTACAGTTAAGAGGTCACGGTACAGTTATAACGGTCCCGACCACTGTTAGCGACAGTGATCACCGTAAATATGTCCAGCATGATGACATATTTATCAGTCATCATGCTGGGCCTGATGACTGATAAATATAATTCATTTAACACATCTGCGATAAGTTGAACACAGACGGCGTCATAATTATCATAGAGAAAAAAATACAAAAAAAAAACTGAATTATAACGTTATTTTCTCAAACATAAATATAAAAAAAGTAAGGTGCAGCTGTTGTTAATATGTTTATATACTTTTTGAGGTACTATGAGTGTGTCACGCTAGTCATGACATCAGAGCCATGTCATGTATGACATAAAGATATGACACATTCTTTCTCACAAAACACTAAAGTTAATACGAGTCACGGAGCGAGAAGCCTCGCTGCTGGCATTCACAGCCTAAAGTAATCACTGTCGTGTCATCCGGATTGGTCTAGCATCAATTTAATAACCGCATCTTGGCCGGCTCGTTATCCGAACTGGTCAGTCATTAGTGTAACAACCGCATTGTGACCGGTCCGTGGGAGAGGCTAAATTGAGTATAAATATCACGCTAGAGAACGTGGGGGGAGATGGATCATGTCTTGCACTCTGCGGCAGTGACGCATAGCCCGTGCCAGGATTCATTAACCATTTACTCAACCACTTACGAAACCTCTACATCTTATCCTTAATCATAGCGGCTGTGTTTACATTTTATTAAACAATTTACCAGCTTGGAAACATGGGTTATTACTGTTATAATCAATCTCGTAGTGCCTCGGGGCTCATAAAATGTTTAATAAATGTAAGAAGTAGTCACGAGTGAGGAAAGATGCAGAGGTTTCGAATGTGGTTGGGTAAATGTTTGACGAGTCCGGTACACGAGGCCCCGGCTGAGTGCTGTTATCTGTGTCTGTTGTTTTGAGGTCCCGCTGAGGACATAAACACACCTGCCTTCAATAAAATTGGAAGCGTTCAGAGCAGGTGTGTGTGACTGGTGTGCTAGACGGTGACGACAATAGAACAAACAAATGACACAAGACACTGGACACATGACACACGACACTGGACACACAACACCTGAGTCTTCACCCTCTCCTCCCCCCAAACAGCCGTCGAAACTTACAGCCTCTTCCGTCGACTTCATAAAGGGATTAGCCCCCACACGAAGCCTCGGTTGATCTCTGAATATGGTGCTACTTAATACCCCACTTGCATAATGCTCTTGACCCAAGTTGCACGTCTGCTAACACTTGCGTAGAGTAACTAACACAAGCCACCACAGAACGACCCCACCAAACACCAAGCTAAATATACCAGAAGCCTAGTCCCGGGACCGACTCTCTCAAGTTCTCGTTTTCTGTTCGTATCGACATGTTCCTTGCTAAGATTTGGCTCTTATGTAACATTGTTTAAGGCCTTAAAGAGTGTGAGTGTCGTAACTCCCTATGTTGGGGGAGAATGGTTTTGTAATTTTATTAAATGGTACTTCTTCACATCTTTATCTTCCTTCCCATTCACTTTATCCTCCTTATCCCCCCTCTACTATTCCAATAAACAATAACAATAGGTTAGATCTATTCTGTACTAAAATAAAACTCTATTTTTTAAGGCATACTTAGTTAACTTATACAAGGCTACTTACTGTACACTATATTAATATTTCAGTGGATTCAAATTTGTGAACTCAAAGGTAAACTAAAATAAACAGCTTCAAGATTTTAAACAGTTCTGATTTAATAACTTTGCACTGCTTTGTCACCCCAGTTAAAAGCTGTGCTTGTCACGCCTGTCAATGGTGTGCTTGTCGGTCTGTCAAATGCGTGCTTGTTAGTCTGTCAAATTGTTTGATTGTCACGCCTGTCAAACACACCTGTGTGTGTTTGTCACGCCTGTCAAACACACCTGTGTGTGTTTGTCACACCTGTCAAACACACCTGTGTGTGTTTGTCACGCCTGTCGAACACACCTGTGTGTGATTGTCACGCCTGTCAAACACACCTGTGTGTGTTTGTCACGCCTGTCAAAGAATGCTCGTCATGCTAGGTCACACTACCCAGGTGGACAGTAAACCTAATGTGGTACTACACCCTATACCAGTGTACCCAGTGGTAGTGGTACACCCTATACCAGTGTACCCAGTGGTAGTGGTACACCCTATACCAGTGTACCCAGTGGTAGTGGTACACCCTATACCAGTGTACCCAGTGGTAGTGGTACACCCTATACCAGTGTACCCAGTGGTAGTGGTACACCCTATACCAGTGTACCCAGTGGTAGTGGTACACCCTATACCAGTGTACCCAGTGGTAGTGGTACACCCTATACCAGTGTACCCAGTGGTAGTGGTACACCCTATACCAGTGTACCCAGTGGTAGTGGTACACCCTATACCAGTGTACCCAGTGGTAGTGGTACACCCTATACCAGTGTACCCAGTGGTAGTGGTACACCCTATACCAGTGTACCCAGTGGTAGTGGTACACCCTATACCAGTGTACCCAGTGGTAGTGGTACACCCTATACCAGTGTACCCAGTGGTAGTGGTACACCCTATACCAGTGTACCCAGTGGTAGTGGTACACCCTATACCAGTGTACCCAGTGGTAGTGGTACACCCTATACCAGTGTACCCAGTGGTGCAGGCTAACAGAGACTGAGGTTGGTTAAGCACACAAGGGGATAGGGGGTGCGTTTGGTCCCTGAACACACGGTGAACCGGGGTTGGAACCCACGTGAACCTCAAGAGATGATGTCGTGGATGAACCTTCATTCTTTTGTTTATGAAAACTTATAGCAACTTAATTTAACGTGGTGAATTTTAGCGTGGGAGAGTAGATGGGGGAGGGGAGGAATTCCCCTTTCCATTGCATCAGGGGGGACTCCTCTATCCCTGTCTCAGGGGGGTTGGGGGAGTATCTCACTGGCCCCCCAGTGACTATTCTTGGACGCCACCACTGCTACTTCCCCCTCGTCATAATGTTGCTTCCGATACTCACACTTCCGTCTCTGTCTCTCTCTCTGTCTCTCTCTCTCTCTCTCTCTCTCTCTGTACCTCCCATTATCTGGACGTTGCATGCATTACCAATCAGACCATTATCGGGACACAGGCCGCCTGCACTACTGTGCCTCCCATCGCCCGGACGTATCCTTGTACCGGACCATCTCAGTCCATCACGCACCTCTGTTATTCTCAATAACAACTCCGAGACGGTCATTATGTTCCATTGTACACAACAGAGATCGATAAACGTAAACACTGGCTTGGGAGGACGGGGAATGGACAAAATCGCCATCTGAACTAAAATAACAAAACTGCGTGAGTGTGTGCTGGTGGTGTGTGGTGGTGTACTCACCTAGTTGTACTCATCTAGTTGTGCTTGCGGGGGTTGAGCTCTGGCTCTTTGGTCTCGCCTCCCAACTGTCAATCAACAGGTGTACAGGTTCCTGAGCCTATTGGGCTCTATCATATCTACACTTGAAACTGTGTATGGAGTCAGCCTCCACCACATCACTTCCTAATGCAGTCCATTTGTCAACCACTCTGACACTAAAAAACTTCTTTCTAATATCTCTGTGGCTCATTTGGGCACTCAGTTTCCACCTGTGTCCCCTAGTGCGTGTGCCCCTTGTGTTAAACAGCCTGTGGTGTGTGGTGTACTCACCTAATTGTGCTTGCGAGGGGTTGAGCTTTGGCTCTTTGGTCCCGTGTCTTTGGTCTTCACCCGAAGGTGTGGTGATGTGATGTGGCTGACCCACAAAGTGGGTAAGGGTTGCCGCGGTGTGTAACTATGTCTCTGGGTTCTCACAGAGGTAGTTTGCACTCAAGATTAACGAAGCCGTTTGGTGAGGTACAAAGCCTAGCAGTTGGCACCCGTGGGTGCTTCTAAGATGGTCGGAAGTTGAAGGTCCATCACAGGTAATTGTAAGAGCCTGACATAAGAGGCGTGGTAACTCATAGTGCTGACCCCCGCGTGCTTAGTGTCAAACAACACGGACACAATCATACAGTTTGTGTCACTCTGCCACCACCTCCGCCCGATAGTGCCTCTCTGCTTGATGACTTTGTCAGTCATATTCTAATTGGTTTTTATTCCTTGCTCTCGATGCGATAACAGCCTTACGAAGAAAAACATTTTGTCTTAGTAGCACTTAATGTGTGTTCAAGGCAGATTACACTCTATTGCCACTTAAATACACCGTGTATCAGTCACCACTACTGCAGTTACTCCACCACTGCAGCTACACCACCACAACCAGACTGACTGCAATCGCCACAACCCTCGAACGACTTATTCAGCTGATTCTTGCAGGTAGAAAGAGCAGTGAGCACATATATACACTGAGAGATGTACACAGCTTGATAACCCTCCAAAAGGTGATAGGCCTTGATAACCCTCCAAAGGGTGATAGACCTTGATAACCTCCTCACAGACTGATAAGCCTTGATAACCCTCCATAGGCTGACAGACCTTAATAACCCTCGAGAGGTTGGCTCTACTGATATTCTTAACTCTGTTTTTTGTTTATAAATTAAAAAATCAAAACAAATTATTTAATGAGTGTTAATAAGTATCAAAGCTGCAACAAAAGCGGTCGACCTTGGCAGTGCGAGTGCTAAACCAAACAAGCCGACAGGGTGCCAAACAACCCGACAGGGTGCCAAACAACCCGACAGGGTGCCAAACAACCCGACAGGGTGCCAAACAACCCGACAGGGTGCCAAACAACCCGACAGGGTGCCAAACAACCCGACAGGGTGCCAAACAACCCGACAGGGTGTCAAACAACCCGACAGGGTGCCAAACAACCCGACAGGGTGTCAAACAACCCGACAGGGTGTCAAACAACCCGACAGGGTGCCAAACAACCCGACAGGGTGCCAAACAACCCGACAGGGTACCAAACAAGCGGACAGGGTACCAAACAACTCGACAGGGTGCCAAACAACTCGACAGGGTACCAAACAAGCGGACAGGGTACCAAACAACTCGACGGGGTGCCAAACAACCCGACAGGGTGCCAAACAACCCGACAGGGTACCAAACAACTCGACAGGGTACCAAACAAGCGGACAGGGTACCAAACAACTCGACGGGGTGCCAAACAACCCGACAGGGTGCCAAACAACCCGACAGGGTGCCAAACAACCCGACAGGGTACCAAACAACCCGACAGGGTGCCAAACAACCCGACAGGGTACCAAACAACTCGACAGGGTACCAAACAACTCGACAGGGTACCAAACAACCCGACAGGGTACCAAACAACTCGACAGGGTGCCAAACAACCCGACAGGGTGCCAAACAACTCGACAGGGTGCCAAACAACCCGACAGGGTGCCAAACAACCCGACAGGGTGCCAAACAACTCGACAGGGTACCAAACAAGCGGACAGGGTACCAAACAACTCGACGGGGTGCCAAACAACCCGACAGGGTGCCAAACAAGCGGACAGGGTGCCAAACAACTCGACAGGGTGCCAAACAACCCGACAGGGTGCCAAACAACTCGACTGGGTACCAAACAAGCGGACAGGGTACCAAACAAGCGGACAGGGTACCAAACAACTCGACGGGGTGCCAAACAACCCGACAGGGTACCAAACAACTCGACAGGGTACCAAACAAGCGGACAGGGTACCAAACAACTCGACGGGGTGCCAAACAACCCGACAGGGTGCCAAACAACCCGACAGGGTGCCAAACAACCCGACAGGGTACCAAACAACCCGACAGGGTGCCAAACAACCCGACAGGGTACCAAACAACTCGACAGGGTACCAAACAACTCGACAGGGTGCCAAACAACCCGACAGGGTGCCAAACAACTCGACTGGGTACCAAACAAGCGGACAGGGTACCAAACAACCCGACAGGGTACCAAACAAGCCGACAGGGTGCCAAACAACCCGACAGGGTGCCAAACAACCCGACAGGGTGCCAAACAACCCGACAGGGTGCCAAACAACCCGACAGGGTGCCAAACAACCCGACAGGGTGCCAAACAACCCGACAGGGTGCCAAACAACCCGACAGGGTACCAAACAAGCGGACAGGGGTGCCAAATAACCCGGTTTGTGCTCCCCCTCGTAACACCAGGAAATGAACGTCTGTATTGCGTCTCTCTATCGGCCTCCGGAGTCCATGCATCACGCTAACACGCATAATTATGTAGAACTAATTAGAGGCATTTACCAGCACACCATACCAAGGCGATTCAGAATCGCCGCTCCATTTTAATACGTGTTGG